GTGATGCCGTTTGGACTGTGTAATGCGCCGGCAACATTCGAACGTCTTATGGAGACTGTTTTGAAAGGCCTTTCCTACGAAGCCTGCTGATATACCTGGACGATATCATCATCGTCGGAAAGAGTTTTTGAAGAGCATCTAGAAAATCTTAGAAAGGTGCTTCAGAAACTGAAAGAGGCCAATCTGAAGCTGACTCCCGCTAAATGCAAATTGTTCCGAAAGGAAGTGACTTACCTGGGACATGTCATCTCTGCAGAAGGTGTGCGCACGGATCCTGAAAAGGTATCAGCGGTTTTAAATCCTGGACGCGTCCCGAAAATGTCCATCAGCTGAGAAGCTTCCTAGGGCTTTGCACCTACTATAGGAGATTCGTGAAGAACTTTTCTTCCATCGCCTTCACAAGCTGACAGAGAGCAAGCAAAGATTCTTGTGGACAAAGGAATGCGAGGATGCATTTAACAACTTAAAGGAAGCTTTAACATCTGCTCCAATCCTGACGTATCCTCAGCTCGACAGACCATTTATTCTCGACACCGACGCGAGCAATGAAAGTGTCGGTGCTGTTTTGTCCCAAGAAATAGACGGCCAAGAAACGTGTAGTGCTTACTGGAGCAAGTGCCGTCTAAACCGGAGAGGAATTACTGTGTCACCAGGAAAGAGTTGCTCGCCATAGTCAAAGCTGTAGAACATTTCCATCATTATCTATACGGGAGAAAATTCCTCCTCCGCACGGACCATGCCTCATTGGCCTGGCTTTTAAATTTCAAAAATCCTGAGGGTCAAATAGCCAGGTGGATACAGAGACTCCAAGAATATGACATCACTATCCGTCATCGTAAGGGATCATCACACGGAAACGCCGACGCCCTGTCTAGAAGACCTTGCCAAGAAAACTGCCGATATTGTTCCAGGGTGGAAGCGAAATACGAGCTGCTGATTCCGGTCGCAAGACAAATTACAACATCAACATCGGCTGATCGAGACCCGTGGAGTGATGATGAAGTCAGGAAAGACCAGCTGGAAGACCGCGACATTAAACCCATACTTGATTTAATAGAGTCATCAAACAGAAAACCTACATGGCAGGACATTTCTATCTGTAGTCCTACAACAAACAATACTGGGCACTCTGGGATTCACTTCACATTCGAAACGGCGTCTTATACCGGAAATTCGAGTCGGATGATGGGGAAGACGTTCCGATGGCAACTGATACTTCCAAGATCCCGGATTCCTGATGTCCTCAAGAACTACATAACAGCCCTACAGGAGGTCACTTTGGAATATGAAGACCTTACAGAGAGTTCGTGAGCGCTTTTACTGGAATAATGCAAAGAATGACGTGCAAAAGTGGTGCCGATCTTGCGATGCCTGTGCAGGTCAGAAAGGACCGAGGAACGCAGCCGAGGCAGACTGCAACGTTACAACGTAGGTGCGCCTTTTGAACGTATCGCCTTTGACATCCTGGGACCTCTGCCACGAACTGCTGATGGCAACAAATACATACTCGTTGTCATTGATTACTTCACCAAGTGGCCTGAAGCTTATCCTATTCCTGATCAAGAGGCAGTCACAGTAGCTGAGGTAATGATACAGCACTGGATTTCCAGGTTCGGAGTGCCTCTTCAGTTACATTCCGATCAGGGAAGGAATTTTGCCTCGGCAGTAATCAAAGAACTATGCAAACTACTTGGCATTGACAAAACTCAAAACGACGCCATTGCATCCCCAGTCGGACGGCATGGTAGAGAGGTTCAATCGAACCATCCTTAATAACCTCTCATTAGTGGTTTCCAGAAACCAACAGGACTGGGACAAGAAATTACCACTCTTTTTACTGGCTTACCGCAGTGCTGTCCACGAGACTACTACCGGCTATTCTCCATCACAGATGCTCTTCGGTCGTGACCTTCGTCTTGCCTTGTGATCTATGTTTTGGTTGCCCTCCGGATGCTCCTTCATCGTCCTGATGGAATATATTCCAAGATCCTCCAGGCCCGGTTTGAAGTAATGCACAGTTTTGCAGAAGAGCGCCTCAAATTGGCGACGGAGAAGATGAAGACCCGATACGACACAAGAGCTACTGGACATCATTTCAACGAAGGAGGCAAGGTATGGTTGTGGAATACGACTCGACGGCAAGGACTCTGCCCGAAACTACAGTCACCTTGGGATGGTCCGTACACAGTCCTACACAGGCTGAACGACGTCGTGGTTCGTAAGTCGTCAAACTCTAAGGTTGAAGTCGTTCATTACGGCAGGTTAGCTCTTTAATTTGGCCATAGTACATAATGTAAATAATTGTAAATAGTATAAGACCATGGTCCATTTTTGTTTTTAAATGTGTATTTGATTTGTATTTGATAGCATTTGATTTGTTTTATGTATTGCATTTATTGTTCGTGTTGTTTATTATTGTAATGTAATGCTATTATTAGGCATTATGCCACAGTTGTAAGTTTGCTTCCTGTCCAGGGATTGTACTGCCCGGGACGTGCAGTCCTTGGGAAGGGGGCAGTGTGTTACGAATTTGGTATTTAAAAAGCTAATGTTAGTTCAATTATAAATTAAATGGTTTTTATTTCTCGCGCAGTGCAGCGCGTGACGAATATTAAAAGAAAGCTAAGCCGGAAAATTGAAAATACAAGAGCGCGTGCATTAAATAAATAAATATCTCTTTTTGATTTCGAGAAAGTACTGGAAAATTCTAGCGCGTGATTTTAAAATCTTATAAAAGGAGGAAACATCTCAGTTTGTGTAGTAGTTGCTTAGTTTGTTGTTGTTTAGAAAACTACTGTTGTTGATTGTAGCGAATTCGCGGATTAGCGTTCTTTAGCTGTTTTGAATTACGTTCTATTGGACATTTGAGTAGTTAAAAGAAAACTACTGTGAGATATTGTAATACTGCATGATAATTTGAGAAAATTTAAGCATTTTTGTTGTGATAATAATAAATTTTTGTTCATTTTTCATCGGACTTGTGCATTCATTTCATAACGAACCCGTACGCACGCAACAATGTTATTATTTCATAGTCGAATGCTGGAATTTTAACTTGAATTTGGCTGTTTCAGGTGCAAACACTTAAATTTAGCTGTTTCAGGTGCTTCCAAGGGCCTCCTATTTGCGTCATACAGAGAATTGCATCACTGCACCATATAGGTAGGAGAGCTCTTAAAAATTTAAAAGAAAACGAATTCTATTATCTACGTATACTTAAAGATTCTAAAGTTAAAAGTAAATTCGAATCAAATCAAGGCTATTCCTCAACTATATTAATATTAGCAATCGTGTAAAAGGGTTTAACGCAAAATCAAAACGTATCAAAATTAAAATAAGAATTTATAGTAGTACAAATTCTAAAAATAAAAATGAAAAGCAAAAGGGAAAAAAATAAAAGATAAAAAATATAAAAATTATAATTAATCTTCTTTTATAGAAATTCTAATTCCGAACTCATCAAGGGAAAATGAATTAAAGCTTCTATATATATGTAATGGAATCCGTCTTAAAGTTTAAACACGTAAATGTAGTTCAGCAAGACATTTAAAGGGCCCCCTAAGACTTCGGGCCCCTATGCGACGGCATTCCTTGCATACCCTTATTTACGCCACTGCATCTCTGCAAACTTTCCGTTCGCATAGCTTTGCATGTTCTTCCTATGGTGCCTACCACTCGAATGAGGCAATTCTCACTTTCCACAAGCACTCGCCTTTACAGCACCTGGCGGCGTACAGTGACGTTTCTGGGCATGGGTTCCTATGCAATTCTTAATCCCTATGATGTACCCTACCAGATGTTTGTAGCAACATTTATGGGACATTCTGTATAAGGAAATAAATTAAAACGTTATATTCAGTTCCAGCATTCTAAAATGTTGTTTATGTATTCATGCTTTACTGTCAATAAAAATCGTCGATAAAATTATCGAAATCTTGCATTACTTTGTATTCTGTAAACAGCATGCAGGATTTCATTATTTTAAGGAGGCTTTGTAGATATTACCTTAATCATTAATAATTTTTTACTTACAAAAATTCTCTCATAAGTAGTAATACTTAGAGCAGCTGTGAGGAAAATTCAGAGTTATATTATGAATAACTTCTGGATTCGAACCCAGGTCGAAATGCCAGCGTTCAGAAAATCTTTTGGTCAGACAGTTCGCCTCTTCACACCATCGTCAGCTCGTACTGAAGCGTGAATGTAAAAGTGAAGATCAAACAGCGACAGCCAGGGGGCCACTCGAATATGTAGACAAATTGTTAAAATACATGGGTCAAGTATTTCAGTTCTAGATCATCGAAATCAATGCTGTTTAATAAACACTCTACTTTTCGTTTAAACTCTTAGATAATGTTTTTCTTTAAGTTATACATTTTAATTATTGGTAATTTTTGATTTATCACTTTCTTGGCACTAATTAACTTTATAACCTTTAGTTCACTGTATATAGATCAGAACATGGACAGATGACATTGTCATAATCTCTTCGAAATTTTTCCAATTTTATTCTTATTATGCTTTTCCCAAAGGTCAATTTTCTGTTTCAGACATAATGTTCATTCTTTGATTTTATCTCTTTTTATCTGGACAGGAGTTCTGAATGAACTTTAAGAATTCAAAAATTGTACCCCAGTATTTAATTTCAATGTAAAGTACACAGAAATCTAATTAGAAAGTAAATGAATCCGATATAACTTTTTAAAATTATTTACAGACTAAACAAGTATAAGATAGTTGCAGAAAATACGATCCTTAATAATAAGTAATTTATAATTTTGCCCCATTTTCATTCGAATATACTTATTTGAATTAAAATAAAACGTTCCGGCTGATGTTGGCATACAGGCGTTTTATAATCATCCAGTTTTAGCGCCCAAACTTTACCGTACGACACCGCAGCTTGCGGTTCTTCATATAACATCGCTCAGTTCATTTAAATGTAAGATTAGTTATGCACTTTATTTAATAGTTCAAGTAAAATTTGCTTTCTGTTCTAGGTATGGCAGGGAAAAGTGAAATTGAATTCGCCTTATGTGATCTAGTGATGGACGGTTTATGGCATATGTTTGCGAAGATCCGGAGAGCGCAGATCCATCAACTTAGCAAAGAGGAAAGGGTAAGTAACGCCCCTCCCCCAATAATCCAACTTAAATTACTCATCAGACATTGGAAGAAACGCTAAATACAACTAAAAAAAAAAAGAAAAATTCTATTCAAATGGTGGAATCACGCACCATCCAAATATTTAATAATTCCGGGTAAGGTTCTTTTTCTGAATGTTAAATAATTAGCTGTTGACAATGATTTTTCAAATGATAATTCAACAACAGCACAATATTTTTTTATTTATCTTATTTTATTTTAATGCGTATTATAAGATTAAAAAATAAGATTTTCTGTTTTCTTAGAACAAAATTTTAAAAATTTTGAGAAAATTAAGAAAGAATTTTTTTATTTAATATTTTTTTTTTTTGTTTGTTTGTTTGAACATGTTTGTATTGCAATTGTAGCAGTGAAATTAGTTTTAATGTAGCTTTTAATATTAATCACATATTTTGTTTTTATTTTTGCTGTTCTAAGATTATTATAACTATTACTTTTTCCGAAAACGAAACGTATTCTATTCAGCTACCACAAAACTGACATTATCTTTGTAGATATAAAATAATAAAATCCTCAATACCGTATCAAACGGCAAAGATTATCTCCTAATCTAATAGTTAATCTGAATATAACGAGACTGACCTCATTTGATTTTACATCAAGTGGCCATTGATCACTTAATTTAATGGTTACGCAATCTAGGTTTTAAAATAACAACAACAAAAAAAAAAAAAAAAAAAATCTAATCTTGAGAATATAACATTCAAGCTATATCTAAAGTACATGGCTACTTATCTGGCGGCAATCCCAGTGGCTAGTGGCCAATGTCTCATTCCCCCGAATGGCCCAATCATCTAGTAGAATAATGGCAGTGGCGCATGGCTATAATAATACTCGTATAAGCACCGGTTGCTGCCTAAAAAGGAAAAAATCTTAAACAAAGCAGTAATTAATAAATAAATTTTCGAATAGAACAACTTTTAGCAAACAATGATTATCAAATAAAAACAACTCATGATATGAGTAGTCAAAAGCAAAATTGAAAATAAGTCATGTCTTGAGCACGTCAAAGAAGAAATCAAGATAAGAATTCCAATCGAGGTAGTGCAGAATTATACATGGCCTCTTAAATTTTAAGAAACAGTATGATCAAAGTTAATATTTTTTAATTTTTTTTGAAATTTTTAAATTTTCATTGAACTGCAGCTGTTTTTTGACAGTCTAAGAAATTTACTATTGACCATTGGAATGTTGGAACTAGCTTGATGAATAATATTATTCCTTAAAATCCAAGGTGAGTTAAAACAGATACAAAATAACTTGTTTTGGGAGAACTTGAAACTTTTGTTGATTATGCTTCGAAATGCATGCCCGAACTGCAGACTCGTGTAGAAAAATCGGCCTAATCATACTAAGATAAATCAGTTGTTTATTTTCTAGAGAGAGAAAGAATTCGTTCAGAATTGAGAATAATATCATAAATGATTTATGAGACGTTAATGAGATATAGTGTATATGTTTAAAAAAAATTATTCTTTTGTCCAAACAAATACCAAGGTATTTGACAGAGTTGTGATTAGGCATTTACGGGTTATTAAAATATAGCTTTGTATTCATAAGCGATGCCCACTAGCGGCCGAGCGGTACACTGGTAGTTCGGTAAGAGGTTCGAACCCTGCTAATAGGCTGGCTGCATGGTTTCGCGGTTTTTCCCACTTGTTGTTTCTGATTTGTGAAAGCCTTGAACACTGTTTTTTTAACAGAACTATATGCAGATAACTGCGTCTGATAAATTTGCCGTACGTTGCGTTGAACAGCAGCAGAAGATTTAAATTCTGCGCTCCAAAATGCATTGCATTTTTTGTTGCAGGGCGCCATTTTCATATGAACTGGCTTATTAAAGGCTTCATTGCTGTTAGGCAAAGTTTCTCTACTTGTCAAAATAACTTCACCCGATCTTTCCGAACAAAACTTGGACAATTTCAAACTATTTTGGTATAAAAACTAACTATCATTAAGCACAACACTAATTTAAAATCAGGTCCATCTTTTCCAATACCCTTGTATTAAAATTTAAAATTTATGTCAATGAAAAAAATTTCTTACTCTTTCTCATGGTCACTGCATTTGAAATTTGTTCTCCGAGTAAGATCGAGCTCTAGGTCTTGTAGTGTGCAAAATAATGCTTTGTAAATTATTCACAAAAGGAGATTTTAAACCCTTAATAGACGGTGCTTTATATAAATAAACTCCATAAAGCGTATTATCAAATTTTCAAATAATAAGCATTTATAAGCAAAATATTATAAATGCTTATTCTTATTTGCTGATTGAATTTTGAATTTGTACAGCCTCATTCAAATATCCTTTCTAAGTTTCAATAATTATTCGAGAAATTTGAACAGTATGGAGTTTTTATCCTATTATTACAAACAATATTTAGATTTATTTTTATCACGGAAATTTTTGAGATTTTTTACATTACTTCCTTAGCGATTCCTTGTCTGCGTTTCTCATGGAAAACAATTAAATCTCGTCCTTGTTTTCAGTCAAGAAATATATTTCTTTAAACACTTTTTAGATAAATAATGAGATTTTATTGAGCAATCATGAATTTTACAGAATGAAAAATTTTGAAATAACCCTTTGTTATATTTTTAACAGAGTTCCATCATTAAGACCATGATTGCTGAGGACGTACCACCCTATCTGGATGGTTTTGAAAAAATGCTGAAGGACAGGAAAGACGAGAGTGATTTCATCATCAGCAAAGAGGTGAGCGTGAACGTTATATTAAATGAGAATAAAGTGGTTTTGTTTAATGCCATGGTATATTTGAGCGGAATCAAAACACATTTTGATTCTGCTCAAAAATTTTGCTTGCAGGTATTGCATTTAAAGTATTCATATCTAAGATGGATTTGTACTCGGTATCTATGAAATACATATCAACTCAAAAAGAATACAATTACTTTGCATATTTGGTACAGAACAACTATTTATTGTACAGTAATGAATATATTATCTGCAGAGCCGGATTTAGACTTGATGAGGCCCTAAGCTATTTGAAATATGGACCCTTTATAAGTCTGCTATACTATATTTTAATATTATATTTTAAATTTTTGGAGGATCCCCAACAAAGTGGGGTCCCTAAGTTGTGTAGCTCATAAGTGAATACTGCACTGATTATCTGTGGATAGGAAAAATGTTAAATTTTACATGAAGAACATCTGCCTATATGAATATCTGCTTCATCATTGGACTGGCCGTGTTACTATCAATAATTTGATATTTTGCAACTGGACAAAAGCAACTGCCATAACATCCTATTTTTTTTCCTATGAATATTTGTCTATGTGTACTGTATGTGTAACTATGTGTACTGTATGTGTAACTATATGTACTGTATGTGTACCAGAGGAATTCTGGCAGATTCTGAGCCATGGCTCAAGATCTGCCAGAATTCCTCAGGTTTGGCCGTCGGGTAGCCATCGATATAATTTGGTCTCGAAGATTCGATTGCCATCTCTATATATAGGATATACACTGAAAATTTTTATGTTTTGCGATGTAAAACAACACTTCTCCGATCTACAGATATTTTAACGTGTTCTTCTATCGCAAACAATTATCTTTCAACACCCAAACAATTTTATTATTTTTGAATTACCATGTATAAGTAAGATCAGTACCAGGATGATGTATTTGGCAATAGTTGTTATGCAAAGTGATTTTCCAAGGACTTTGGGCAAGACCTAACGGTACGATAATTATAGTTACTGATAGCAACGACAGAAATCAGCTGCACTGAAAAAAAATAAACATTTCTGATAAAGACTGCTCTGTTATTTGAACATGATAAAATAATGCGTGATACCTTTATTTATTTTGCATTTTTAGATTAGATTATTCCACCTAAATTCTAGTCAAAGCAGTTTAAAATGTGCATAAGGTATGATTGTTTGGGCTATTGACTCATTTCCACAAGATAAAAACCACAATTAAAATCTGATACCGGCCAGCACATGACCTATTTTCTGTCATTGTTTTTCGACGTTAAGACGAACTTCAATCGCATCGCATCGATATGGTAAAGATGTCTAGAAAGTCGAAATGGGATAAAGTGTGTCTCAATAGGAAATCTTATCTTCTCAAATCATACTGGCTCTTTTCTCTTAGGAACGACAAAAGATGTTGAAAGATTATCTCATTCAAATATTTTTTTTTTCAAATTAATTGTAACAAGATCATAACTGCAGCGAACGGATAATTACGATTTCGTAAATAATTATACATATGTATTGTTAACTCATTCCTTTTTTCCGAATAAAGAGATAGTGCAAGATCTTCGAGCTCTACACCATCTCTGGGGGGAGTAAACAACGAAGACTTTCAAGTCTATGAGCGTAAAAACTATAACCGAGACATGGACTAAATTTATAAAAGTCAGCAGGTCCAGCTATGCTGACTTTTATAAATTTTTATTTAGTTCACTCATGGTATTTATCGCATGGACAAAATTTAGTCATCGATTTTTTAAACTGCATCCTGATAGGCTATCGAATTCAAATATCGTATACACTCTGTCTGCTTGTTTATGCATGACAATACAATGTGGTTCAGTAAATTTACAAAATTCGATTTGTATTCTATTTAATTTAAATTTAAAATGATTTTTCATTTAACTAATAAAGCAAAAGTGTCAGAAATTTACTCTTTGCACCATTTTCACAGGTTACAGAACAAATTCTTCGTCATCTTTTAAAACAAAAATGATAAAAAAGATAAGAAGACGATGCTTTTTATTTTTTAAAAAATAAGCTACAGTACGAAACAAAAGGGAAAATATTAATTTTTCTGTTTCAAGGTTGCTATATCATTACGTCACATTACGTTTAAAGTTATCTGCAATGATATCTACCTCGTCATTTTTTATTTCTTCCATTTTATCATTTTATATATATTTTTCTCAATATTTCGTTTTAAAAGTTGATTTTCTCCATTTTATTGTGATACGTAATATTGTATTCATTTTATGGGACTTTGCAATTTTTTTAACTAGCCACATTTTTATAAGATTTTTATTTAACACACTCTGGTGTTGTCACTATGGATAAAATTTTGCTATCCATTTTTATACTATTCCTTGATATCCTATTGAGCTCAAACTTTGTGCATGCGCTCATTACGGATGGCAGTACAATGCGTTGCAGCGGTTTTTCTAAAAATCAGAAAATTTCTTTTTTCCAAAACAAATTGTAAGCTGTTGGATTTAAAATGGAATATATATATATGTTTTGTTAGCTGTCGAAAATTAATTTTGTTTTGAATTTGACGTTGCCAAAACATGAACATACATCCGTAATTGTTTGTCATAGTCGTATGTTTCCAATTGCAGAAGTGTTTTAAAAAACGAAATTGCTCATGTTTGTTTATATATGTAGGTAGTCTAGTAATAAATGTCTAACATTATTTAATATCATTTTATTGATCGTTGGTCATATACTCTCAATTACAGAAATGTTTTACACGACGAAAATATTGACAACGTGAAATTAAAAAAAAAAAAAAAAAAAAAAAAAAAAATTATTTTCGACAGCTAACGAAATCTTAACTTTTAATGCTGTCTCCCGGTACCTATGCTTATATTTAGGAACGTTTTATACAGGTTATGAAAAATAAAATTAGAAGGAGTTTAACTCACGTACGTGAAAAATTGATCGAGATATTTAATTTCAAAATTTGGAATTGTTCATGTCATTTTCAACTTGCCTTGAGAAAATAACTTTACATAAAGCAGAGTAAAAACTTGGTGCAATTTGACAGGCCGTACAAGGAAGTCATGTGGTGGCAACATCACATTTTTTTAAAATTTAATGTTGAAATGCTGAATTTATTCGACCATTTGATGCAATAGAATTGTTGGAAGTAAAAAATGATTATTCATTTTCGAAAAAATGATTTTTCAATTGAATAATTTGATCAATAGCATGTCATTGAAATTAAAAGGATGAAAATTAGAAAAGTTTTTGTAAAATAAGCGTTTATTTAATACTTAAAAACTCATTAATGAACTGGAAGGAGAAAAAACTGATCAGATAGTTTAATGCGAACGAGATATTATTATTATTATTATTATTATTTACAAAATTCATCTACAGTTTCATATCACTTATAATAAAAGCGTGGCTCCTAACTAACGAAATCGAATTGCGCTGTCAAAAGTATAAACCGTTATCTTTCTAAATTTATGAAAGACGCCGCGTGATAACGTCACGCGCCTTCAAAAAATAATTTTAAATGCATTTTCCGTCATTTTTAAAACATTTTCTGTGAATTTTTAGTTCCTCAAAATCCATGTCCGATATATATATATATAAGAATGCTGTTGCTTGGAAGGTCTAAGTTTCTTCTACTAACTGCATCTTTACGAATACATTTTCGTGACAAGATAACAAAAAAATATCTGATGTGGACACCCCATGTCTTCCTTGTAGGGCCTATTAATTTATACACATTTGTTCTGCACTTCATTTAAACTTATTTCCTCGAATTTCATTAGCAATATATTTTTCATTCTATCAATTCAATTCTCACATTGCGGCAAGGCAAAAACAGATAAAAATTCAAAATATCTTCATTAAGAATCGTAAAATACAGAAAAACCTAAACACACCAAATACAGTTAAAAACTGTTAAAAAAAAAGTTTTTAGAATTAAAATTATATTTTCTAAGTAAAAACAAGCAATGGGGCCCGCGGGCAGAAAGACAGATTTTTCGTCCCTTTCGGCAAAAAGACACTGAAGTTGGTGCACACACAACTTAATTCACTATTCTACTAATAGTTTGAATGTAAACAAAGGGCGGCATCGTTAGGCTTAGTACCACTTAAATAATTTTTTAATTATTAATAATTCTACAAGTATTGCATGCAGATTATCTAAAAGCATTAAAAACTTAACCGAAACATAAAAACATTATTATTCAATCACTTTTAAAGCAAAGAATGCACAATTTACCAACATATAAGATTTTAAAAAAAAACTGAGTTCACCGAGCCGGGTAACAGAGTGGATATGTATATACACTTATACATGTTTGGTGCGGCCGATTGCAACCAAAAAGGGAGGTGTACAGCTACATATTATAGCAGTCCCATATAACAAAATTTCAAAGTTCTGAAGCTACGCGTTTTTGAGTTATGAGAGATACATACATACGTACTTACAGACGTCACGAAAAATCTCTTCTGAATGTATTTTAAATCTATTTTACAATTCGTTTTGTTAAAAAGAGTCCTTTAATCTGTCCGTGCGTACAAATTTGACGCAAAAATCGTTCAAATGGATTCGGGAGCAGTCAAAATGATATTTTCATTAAAATATGATACCTGAAATTTTTCGTGACTGCAGTACTTCCTTTACTTTATAGAAAAAAGTACAAAAAGAGCAGGGGAGTCATCCGTAGCAATAAATCGTATTCCAGTTATCAAACAATCTTTCTCTTATTTCTCCAGTCCTCAGTTTTGAACTAATTTTAATTATCGAGACTTAGATTGAAAGATTAGGCCAATATGCGCAACATGAGAATTTCTGCTTACAAATTATTGTTCAAAAAATAATTTCTGAACTTTAAGTAATTCACTACCAATAATGTGAAAACAAAATACTTTAATATATCTTGCAAAATTTTCAAATTATTAAATAGAAGTATAATGAACACATAAAAATTTGGCCTTAAAAACTACATTTAAAATTGCGAAGAAGATTAAAATCATTCAGCTAGACCTAGCACACACAATTTTTTTTATTAATTATCTTGAAATTTTATGTTTGAGAGGTGAAGTATATATTCTCAAATGTCTGTCAGTAGGTATCAAAAAAATATCTTTACCTCAAATTTGAAATAAAAGTTTTTATTACGGGCAAATCTTTTAAAAGATTATGCCTTTATGAAAAAATGAAAAATTTCGTAACTTCCAACTTTTGCGATGTTTCAGCAAACAGATTTACGTAAATATTAAGATATAAATTCTTTCTAATGATTAAATGAAAGAAAACTTTATATTATTCTGCCGAATGAAAAATCATATAAATTGTATCTATGTTTATTTGTATTATGATATATTTTGGAGACGTAAAGATAAATTTCTATCAGTTTTTTGTGCATTTGTTAAGATTTTGCTATTTTTTTAATAATTATTAATAAACAAACTAAGAATTCTGATAATAATGTATTCTGCTCTCATGACATCGAGTTAATAATATCGGTTCATTCTTCATTAAAATTAAAAAAGCGCTTGAAAGAGAAGATTGCAATTACTGGATTTTTAAATATATCATTTCTTATAATTGCAAAAATCATTCAAACTTCGAAAATTAATGATTAAATCAATAAATTAATGTCTTTTTCGCTAAATCAGATATGAAATAGTAAAAAAGAAAATAGAGAGTCTTAAATTTTGCCGAAAAATAGTGTACGCTGACAAAGTGCACGTCATTTCATCACACTTTTTCCTAAATAATTTATCAGCACGAGTTTCCTCCAATTTGAAAAATGAAAACCACATTGCTGACGTTCTACATCGCTCAAGTGACAAACCTTTCCTTTGTAGTTATACTTCCTTGAAAAGTTACATGATTTTGAAAGAGACTGCGTCATTCATTAATCAGCATCATATGATGCTGATGACTATTTCTTCTGATCTGAAATGCATTTTTTTTACACTAAGAGTAAATGGAAATATACAGTGTCTCACAAAAGTGATGGGACACTTGTGCTTTACAAAAGGGAACTGTAATAAAATAAATTTTAAAAACATTTAAAAAATTTTTGTGGGTGTGTTTCATACTTAAATTTAGTAAAAATTATTACATAACATACATTTTCTCAAAATATTAAAATATTAATTTAATAAAAATACAATTGTTCAGAACGGAGCAAAAAATGGCTTACATAAGTGATGAGACACCATTAGATACTACTACGTACTACAATAAAAATATTTTTTGAGGTTTCTATTTTTATTCAAAAGCAATTGGCAATAATTTATAAAATCGTCTGCAGTATTTCTCCCCAGTTTGTTTTGGAAATTTTGTGTTTTTTAGCTCTGTGCAGCCATGAATGCTAAGCGAAAAGAAACTTTGCCTGAAATTCGAAAATTAGTTATTAATTTGCATATTGAAAGTGGAAAATCTATTAGAAAAACTGCTGACACAGCTAACGTGAGTCATTCAACAGTTTCAATATCATTAAACGATATAAAAAGAATCATATGATTCAGGATAAAAGAAAACCTGGCCGACCATCAAAGCTATCCAATGGTATAAAACGAATTATCGTTCGAAATATTAAAAAAAATCCAAGAATGAGTGCTCCTAAAGTTGCTGCTGATTTACAAGCATTATATGGAGTAATTGTTAATCCTGAGACTATTAGAAAAGTAATTCGATCTGCTGGATAACACGGTAGAGCAGCCAGGAAAAAATTCTTCGTAAGTGAAAAGAATAGAAAACTCAGACTGGCTTTCGCAAAATCCAACATAAATAAGAATTCTGATTACTGGAATGAAGTTATATTTGCTGATGAGAGTAAATTTAATATATTTGGTTCTGACGGTAGAATCTTGGTGTGGAGAAAACCCAGGGAAGAATTTCGCAAAAAGAACTTGGTGCCAACAGTAAAACATGGTGGAGGAGGAGTTATGGTATGGGGGTGTATGTCGTCCGCTGGAGTTGGTAATCTTGTTTTTATTGACAGTATAATGAATCAGTACAAGTATATTGACATTTTAAATCAAAATTTGAAATCTTCAGAACGAAAATTGAACCTTCATAACAATTTTAAATTCTACCAGGACAATGACCCTAAGCACACTGCTTTGAACGTTAGACTCTGGCTGCTGTATAACTGTCCTGAAATAATAAAAACACCACCACTATCTCCAGACTTAAATCCCATAGAGAATATTTGGCAAGAATTGGAATCAAGAATTCGCAAACACCCATTTCTTCAAAGCAACAATTAAAATCGGTGCTTCAAGAAGAATGGGGTAAAATCGCTCCAGAAATCATAAAAAAAATTAGTCGAATCCATACCAAGAAGATTAAATCATGTTTTAAAAGTAAAAGGAAATATAACAAAATATTAAAAACCTTTTAAAAAGTAAAATTTTTGGATAAATATTTGATGGAAAAGTAAGTGTCCCACCACTTATGTGAGCCATTTTTTGCTTCGTTCTAAACAATTGTATTTTTATTAAATTAATATTTTAATATTTTGAGAAAATGTATGTTATGTAATAATTGTTACTAAATTTAAGTATGAAACACACCCACAAAAAATTTTTACATGTTTTTTTTTAAATTTATTTCACTACATTTTCCTTTTGTAAAGCACAAGTGTCCCATCACTTTTGTGAGACACTGTAGTATTTATGAATTTTAATATCTGGAACTCCAAATATCGCGACAACATTTTCATATTTCTGAGCTCAGTAAGTTTACGCGTTCTTTTTATTTTCCCCAGCATTTAAATAACGTAAATTTTCTCATTTGTTTAAACAGCATAAACAGTATAACTGCACTTCTTTCTTAAAAATATATTAAATTAGTTTAAATGAATGCGGACGCAAGCAATTGGTCTGAAATAGTTAAGTAATTTGCAATCTATAAAAATGAATGGAAGAGTAATTACATACTGTATTCTGCTGTTCATCACCTTCTTCTTTTTTTAAATGCGTAAATCAGTGTTTAGCCATTACAGGCTTTCTATAAAAATATTATTATGAAGTACATTTTAATATTTTACTTTTTTGCATCAATAAAAAATATATATATTCTAGTTTGTATCAGTTGGTAGAAATCGGTTATTCGTTTTAATTTATAGAAGAAAAAATAATAGTTTCTTTGCTTAATCATAGTATAAAAAAATTTTACAGGAAAAATTTATCTTTTTTGTCTAATTTTAGCATAAAAGAAATAAAAACAAATTTACGTTCCTAGTTTTATTGACTGTGTACCTGAACAAAAATTAATTAATTTATTTTAAATGAAATAAAAATGACTGTGTGTATAGGGAAATAAAAAATAATTTTGTTGTTTGATTTCGTAATCAAAAGTTTTAATTAACTATTTTAACTAGATTAAAAGTTTTAACTAACTTTTTTCGCAATCGAAAGTTTTTACTTACCTATTTTCTTTTGGGGGGGATATTGTATTTTGTAGAATGAAGAGGTATTATTTACTCTAAACTGCAAAATATTTACTGAGATAGAATTCACTAAGGAGTTTAAAATCAGAATTCAGTTGCATTGCAAATATTCATTTGGCATCCGCAAAAATATAATATTATCCGGAAATAAACAATAATATTATCCGGATATTTAGAATTCTACTACATAAACTTAAATACAAGTATGATACAACCACATAAACTCAATTAAAAATATATATATCAAAGTGCAAGTTATTTTATATTCTTTTTTAATGTATGATGTAAAATTGCAGATGATATATGTCTACATGTAAAATTTTAAATTTAAAAAAATTAATTTGAAAAATGTCAAATTTCAGGTGACATGGTGTGACATAGGACTAACTCTGGCACTAGCAGCTTTAAAATACCGTCATGGCTTGAGCTTAGATTCTCATCCCCAACTGTCCGGGTATTTAGGAAAAATGATGGAACTGCCACAGCTGGCTGAATTCTTATCGAAGAGGGCTCAAGAAGAAGCTGGATATTAAATTTATTATTGACAAATTCTCATACTGCTATTTTTTATACGTGCATTGCTGTTTAAAAGAAAAAAAATTACTTATTTAATTCGTACCTCAATTTTGCCTTTTTAAAGGATCGTAGCGCCATCTGTTGCATGATATTGAAATAAAAATGGTTTTAAGGTTGTTCAATCATCAATGGTTTGCGGTAAATAGTTGCAGTTTTTCGTCAGAAAAGCTGTTTTCATTTAAGCTCATGAATATATTGATATATTTTATCATTTAAAAATGAATTGTTTTATAATTTATGTTACAGTATAAAATGTTTTAAAGTTTAATAATTACATATTTATAAGAATACAGTAGAACGCACAGAAGAATGGATTGTGATTGCTGATTTGAATAAAGAATTCTTTTTAAAATTTCGAAGAGTTTTTTAGGACAGAAAAATTTATAATTTACAGTACTTTATTAAATTTTATGAAAAGGCATTTTCATACATAATTCCATACATTAGTTATTATTTTCTGGTAATAATTAAATTTTTGAAAAATGTCTTATGATTATCACAATAAAGCGAAGACTTAATGTAAATCTATAATATGATTAGAATTAATAATTGATAAATTTTATAATACTCTTAAACACATTTCTTTTGTAGTAGTATTGATGAAAACATTTTTTTTTTCCATGTTCAGAAAAAAACGTTATTTAATAATAACATTGTTTCATAAGAATAAATAGTAAAGTTAAATTAAATTTAAATAGCTCTCTTGCGCCATTGCTGCAAGGAATGAAATTTAAATTTAACAATCATTCTCTATTCGTAAAAAGCAAATTTAAAGTTAATTTAAATTTTAAATTATGAAATTTTAATTGCGTACAAATAAATGATTAATTATTGCTGCGAACTAATCTATAATATCATTTATATTCTGAGAGTATATGTAAAAATTCTTAACTCAATTTTTAATTTAAAATTTAAATTTTCTTTTTATGAATAGAGAATGTTTGTTAAATTTAATATAATATTGTAACGTAAGCGAGCTTCCGAGATGGAAAATAATAAGACCAGAGGTCTTTTTAATATTTATTTTAAAACTTAAACAAAGATTTCTTGGTTAAATAAAAAGTAAAACAGCAGCACGGTTACAGAAAAATATGACACAGCTTTCCCGTCTCGGAACGTGACTCTCTTTCGGCGTTTTTCAGACAACATAAATCAATCAGAATTTTATGACTATCAGAATTTTATGAATTTATATCACGTTCAGAATTTTATGACAATCAGAATTTTATGAATTTATATCACGTTCAGAATTTTATGACATTTTCTTTTCATCACGAATGTATCGGGGACAAGTAAAAAAAATCTATACAACAAAGAAACATGGAATGCAAATAAAGAATTAAAATGAAATATGCAAAATATAGCGTTAAAGAGAGAGCAGCAGATTTTATGTAAAATTATATTTTTAATTTTATAAAAAATTTACACGAATCTAAGGTTTCTTTATCATAATTGCTATTTTTCAGAAATGAATAAATGACTGTCAGTCTGTTAGTTATATACTAACAGACTGACATACTAACAGACTGACAGCATAATAGGTAACCATACAGAAAGGAGAATTGTTAATAGTACACCGTAATTTACTCTGCTCACAAGTATAAATTATTTAAAAATTTGAAAGTAAATAAATAAAAATAAATGAGCTTGTTTTAACACAGGAAATGTATTGTCTAACCTAGAACATACATTTATATCGGAAATTTCATAAACAAAATTCTTTGACTATATAATTTTTTCAAAACGTTTTTTGTCGTTTCCCCCTCCGCGTCCGTTTAATTCCTCTAGGTCCCTAATTTTCTTCTTTCCAAGCGCTCTAATTTTGGGTAATTAAGAATCTAACTAAGTGCAAATGTTGAAAGGAACTTTCTCTCTCCTTATCGCATGCTTCGTCGTGCATTTAGTAGGGACGTCCAACTGGTAAACGGAAGGTTCCGAGTCCGAATCCCGGTGACAGCATCATTGACTTTTCATGTTTCCTGCTTCGAAAATCCTAATCACTCTAAAATGTGACTGTTAAAACTGATAATAAAAGTTTAACTAAATAATAACATCATTAATAACCATAAATAAATAATACGCAATAGTGATTTATTAAAACTTGCATTTTTTGCGAAATCATTTATTAATTCCCCGCATATTCCCCAATTTGTCAACCATTTGTTGACAAGCCTGAGTAAAATTAAATGTACAGCTGATTCAAAGATTAAATTCTTAATGTATTTCGAGTGGAGAGGATGGTCTCATGGAGGGACTTTTTAAGGCAGGTTTGCCCATATTCAGCTTACACATTAGAAAATACGAAAACGAACCACGCAATTAGCCCATTGGACTGCGATCGAACCCGAGTCGAAGGAATTTAACCATGATATTCAACGATCTTCTCCTTTGGCAGATAGCTCCTACTACGCCCCCTTTTCCATATTCCAACCGCCTTCAATTCATCTCACATTCACTAGTTGCATAGCAACCGATGTCTGAGAGAGATTGGATTGAGTTGGGTTATTTGGGTTACATACACGAAGACTATCTAAGGGAAGGAAAGCTTTCGTTGGAAACTTTCTAAAAAAAACTGGCTTGTATCCATATTACACGTGAGAAAAACACAAAAATTTCCAATAAGCCATTCCATTCGGTAGAGATTGAAGGCTGAGTAAGAAAAATTGCTGAAAGTTCTTACTTGCATCCCAGGTTCGATTCCAGGGAACAGAAAGATTTAAATTCTTCAATGTTTGTTCTCATATGAAGCCAATAACAAAAAAAGCTGATGTGTACACCATATGACTTGTACGGAATATTAAATTATACTCATTTTTTCTTGCACTTAATTTAAGCTTATTTCCTAGACTTTTATTAGAGATATATTTCTCATTCAATTAATTTAGTTCTCACTTCGCTGTAAGGCAAAAATACATAAACTCAAATTACTTTCATTAAAAATTGAAAGCTATGGAAAAACATAAAACACCAAATACAGTTAAAATAAATTTTTAAAAAATTTACAATTAAAATTACAATTTCTAAAGGAAAAACAAGCACCTCGGCCAGCAGGCAAGAAGGCAGAGTTTTCGGTGCACAAAACTAAAAGTTTCGTTTTGGTCCCACTCAGCAAAAAGACATTAAAGGTGTAGAAAGAATTAATTCACTATTCTGCCAAGTTTCAAATGTAAACAAGTATAGCTGCTGCGGTAAAAAAAAAGAAAAAAAAAAAAAAAAGAAAATTAGACTTATAGACTTAGCCGCACTTAAACAACTTTAAAATTGTTGATAATGCTACAAGTATTGCATGCAGATTAACTAAAGGCATAAAGACTTTAACCGGAAGATAAGAACAACATAATTCAATCATTTTTAAAGCAAAAACTGCGCAATTTACCAACATATAAGAACAAAAATCTGAGTTCACTGAGCCGAGTAACGGAGTGGGTATATATATATATATATATATATGATCTTGGATGCGTTTTCTGGCAAATCTCGAGTTCAACGAACAGGACAGAATTGCAGTGTCATCTGCGTAACAGACAGTAACACAGTTGCTGTTATCGACAAATATCTAGCAGTCCATAACATATATTAGACAGATTATTGGGCCTAAAACTGAACCTTGGGGGACTCCTGCATTGATATTTCTGCTGTCAGTAATTACCTCTGAAGGCGTCTGAGGGACAATCCCTTGACCTTTACTTAGACAGACGCGGCTACTGGGGTACATAATCAGTCTTCACAGTGACTAAAACCATCGACAAATCAGTGCTCCGTTCAGGTACGGCAGGGACCATAGCGGTGCTGTCAAGTTTGTCTCGGGCTCTGTGATAGCTACATGGTAGATGAGGATTCACCTTCGCTGATCAGCTCAGGGTGATTGATGTTATCTTAGTATTTTTTCCGTGACCAGTTGGTACCTGGTTGCCCTTGGTCTTGTGAATAAACTTGACCTTGTTGTTTGTCGCCCGGGATTGACCACTGGGGCTTGCGCCTCTGTGAATTGTCTCTAGAGGTTTAGGCGTCACTCTGTATAAAGAGATTTTTTTAAAGGTCAGGTCAAGAACTCTCTACCGTCTAGCGCACTATCAGAGTAATAACTGTCTGATACTGAAAGTTCTGTTGGAGATGAAAGAATTAAAAATGAGGATTATCTCTCGGGATGATATTGAAAGGAATGAGCTTAGACGTGGTTAAAAGCTTTGGCTATGCCTAACATAAGAAATGCCGTAGTTTGATGTTTGTGGATAGCAACACTGATAAACTCAACTATCCGAAATGCTGATTGGGTAGCGAGCTTCGCGCTGGATCCAGACGTTTGGTACAAAATTCTTTCGAGAACTTTACCGAGTGACGGGAGCAAGCTAATAAGCCTGTAGTTTTCCACTCAAGTGTGATCTTTCCAAGGCTTGGGAATGAATGTAATTGGGGCATGTTTCCAAGTTGTCAGAAAAAGACAAGCGTTAACAATACTGCAAAGCTTGGAGATATGATTTTTCAGGAAGGTGTTTAAACATTTTATTACAGACAGTATCCTTGCTGGGTATTCATCCTTTCTGATATGCAGTTTAGATTTGATGCCATTAATTTCCGCAGGGTTTGTGAAGGTGGGGAGGTTATTTGCAGTGGGCTGTAATAACCATCTGTCAACTGAGTTTTCGACATGCGCAAGAAATTCAGCCTCTGCAGAATAGGTGTAAACTGTTCGGCAAAATGATCAACAATACAACAATACATTTGCTTTCTCTTCGACTGTATTCATGTTCCTTGAGGTATTTTTAATAGGCACGTTTCTAGTTCCCCCCCCTTTTGAGTGCATATGTGCTTCTCTATGTTTGCAAATCAAATATTTAACGTCTGTTTCAGAAGTCAAACATTATTATATGTTTATATTTACAAATATTTTTATTACATAGTTATATTTACAAAATTTTCACAGTAGTAACGCTTTTACAGTAGTAACGCTTGTAAATATAACGCTGATTTTTGTTGTTTGACTTCTGAATTAGTATTTATTCGGCGTGTTATTGTGTCTTAATTTAACGTCTGTGTTCATTCTGTTGACCAATAACTTAAGGCTTGCACTGCAGAGTGTGCACGTACAGACTTTCAGAGGTCGAAAAAATTCCTGGATCATGTTTTTTATGTTTGCTTTTAAATTCCATGTTGAAGTCCTCGTATGCGCTTGTAAGACTGAGTAAGATTGTAGATGGCAACGTCAATGTTCTCTGGAGTTTTAAAAGGATTATATTTATTAATGCTATCTGTGAATTTTTTGCACTCAGTGACTATGAAACTATTGTCTTTTTCAGTTTTATAAATTCCCACGTATGCCAGGACCGGTACCTGTTTTAATGAAAGATCATT